CCAGCACAATTTTTTCAATACCACCAACTTGGATAATTGAGTTTATCAAGACACTTTGTTAAGTATATTCAGCAAGTGTTTTAGCATCAGTTCAACTCAATTTTAACAATACTACCAACTTAAATAATTACATTGAAAATAAATCTTTTTGAGTATATTCAACAAGTGATTTTCAGTCAGGAATACGTAATCTTTATTCAAATACCATCTTTCAAAGATTAGATTCACAAAACGGTTCACAATTGTTAAATTTAGGCAGTAGTCTCTCACTCCACATATATATGAGAGTGGGCCAGCACAGTCACTGGTAAACATGTCCACCTTAACGTATCTGTTCAAAATTGAAGGGTGACACAGGGAGTATAGGACTGCTTTGGTTTGGCCCTCTCGATCATGGGTTGATAAAAATAAATACAATTACTTATTTGGTCAAATTAGTTTATTCAGAATGTTGCTCAAGTATTTTGCTTTAGGACTTGCTTCATTTTCAGTTTTAAAATTAATGCTCAAATGTAGAATTTTTAAGAAGTTTATATTTTTCGCTGCAATGCATTCTGGGTAGCGTCACTGCTTCGCCACATTTTGTTTTCAATCAACACAATATATTTATTTTGAATCAACTCAATATATTTATTTTGAATCAACTCAATATATTTGTTTTTTCATTAATGGGCCACCAGGCTTACAAGAGGATTTCATGTTGAGCAAACTCAATACTTCTCCGTTGTCCAGTTATGCCAGAATATCAAGTTCAAATTTGTTACAAAAATGAGTTAGGATTCTTGTATTCACTTTTAATTGAGACCGGCATGTTTAAAATGAGTTGCGACCACACTAATTTAAGTAAAACTGGCAAAAAATCAATTATTGAGTTTAGTTTAGTATGTATTTTGAGTTCAAAATACTAACCACCTGAATCATTTCTTTGTTTATATATGTGTCTTACTTACTATCACGGAAAAACCCGAGAGATTTGTAATGATGGAGCGAATACAAATCACTTATATATATTGCATGTGTGTGTGTGTGTGTGTGTGTGTGTGTGTGTGTGTGTGTGTCGTCACTGTATTTATTCTCTGTTGTTGTAAATAAAGCTCATACATTCACAGCTGCCCGTGTCCGAGATGAAAGTGTGTTTAAGTATGTGTGTGTGTCCGAAACAATGCGAGGCCTGTTCGGTTTGGGAGAGCTCCAACATTCCCCTCACACCATCTGCCCGCGGGTCTGAGCTCTATGTCCAGTTTTAGCCCGTTTTTCGCAGATTTGCAGATTCACGCACACGTTTAAGCCTTGTCACACACATGTAAACTCTCTCTCTCGCTCACTTACACACATACACACAAACACACACACACACACACAGCAGATAAATGTGTTTGTCCCTAGACTATTATCTTGTCTCGCTATTATGTTTGCAGCTCCTTTTTTTACGCGCTGGCTCTGTACTCTCCCAAAAGGCTGAAGATTTGATGACACTACCCCCCCCCCCCCCCACCCCATGCACCCCACACACACACCCATAACCCGGGCTGCCCCACCATCACGTAACCCTCTGTGCCGCTTACATCAAAGCCACGTCTTAAATAAAATATTTAAAAAAAAACGCATTTCTCCAGGAGGCCTCGGGGGCCGCGCGTGATGGGGCCTTCTGCGAGCGCCGTGCGTAAAGACACCGCTCCAGACTCAGCATCACCGCGGAGCCAAGAGGAAGATTTAGCTGCATGAATTTCATCCTGTGTGACACCGTTTTAACACGACCTGAGACATGTGGGAGATGTGAGCAGCGAGAGAAATCCTTAAAAACGGTCTTGGCGCTTCTAAAACGCATGAATCGAGTCGGGCACAAATGAGTTGAATTAAAAAACATATTTTCTTGATTTGAGCAAATTAGGGTGAAATTAACTTGAAGTGGAGACATGTTATTTTTAATCAGTAAGATTTGTGTGACCTCCAGGTTTGTAAGAGGATCAACACTGAACCGAATTGGATTCACCCGCTAATTTCTACACGCGCACAAAGAGGCGCAGATTTAGATTTACAGGTTTAAATAAAAAAATAAAAAAAATCTATTCAATGCATTTGTGAAACGCCTTAAATCACAGCAGCATAAGCAGCAAAAGACGCAGAAGACATTACAAAGTTGTGGATTCACCAACAACAGATCAGAGAATCAAACAGCTTTACTAAATCCAAAAGCGGTGAAAATGCGAAGAAAAATTTGGTTCTTTTTAAATTATGAAACATTTGTTGTATCTTTTTGACTCCCACAACTTGTTTGCACATTGAGCCAAAGCTAATTCGTATAGTTTGCCACTTCCTGTCATACTCAAAAAGGCAAAACAAAATAATTCTGATTGTAATTCTAATCATTGTGAACTCAATGTTAAAAGTCTCTCATGTATAATGTGTGATAAACGTGGCTCCTGGTCCCGCGAGACGTTTCCATAAAAAAAAAAAGTGACAACAGGGCCAATTGCGCGTCTGTACTGGATCAATAATTAATTGTACACAAATAGCCCGCGTGCCCCGAGGACCCCCACCCCACCCCTCACCCCTCACCCTCCACCCCCCCCGACAGCAGAGGATGGACACGAGTGGATGGATGCACCGCGAAGGGCCTGTTCAAATATTCATCCAGGGCTGGTTAACGCGAGCCTCTCCCCAGGGACCCGAGCCCAAACTGCCGCCTCTCCAACCACCCGGCCGCCGCTAATGTACGCGACGGATGGTTGATTTTAAAAGTATATAAGCCTCTCTCTCACGTCGCGCACAATTGGATCATCAAAGGGTTTGTTTCCTCCGCTGCGCACACGGACAGACGGCGCTGGTAATGGGTTCAAAGCGCCGCGAGAAAATGATGATTTCTGTGTTTCTTTTTTTTTCTTTTTTCTCCTGCTCTGCTTCTGTCTCTCAGATCTAACGCGTTCAGAGACGGCGGGAATAAAAGCGTGGGCGATGTATAAGCAGGACGTTTGTCAGAGATGCTGTCACAAGTGGCGTGACGTGAGGGGTAAACGGTGCCATATCTGCCCCTTATCTGCCCCTTAAGGAGGGAAGGAGGGAAGGGGGGGGGGGGGGTAGTGACAGTGCCATAAAGAACCTGAGAAAAAGGTTAGGTTTTAGGAAGAGGTCAAAACATTCGTAAAAAACTAAAAAAAAGCGTCAATAAGTGGTCTTCCTCTGGCTCCATAATCTTCACCGTGTTTTGTTCTTGAAAAGTTATTAAAAAAGGGTTCGCAGGAGAACAGGAGAAACTTTATTTGTATGGCACTAAAATATGTCTAATCATTTCAATGTATTTGCGTCTCGCCCTATAAATCACAGCGGCAGTCGTCTTGGATGACTTTACAAAGTTGTGGATTTACCAAAAAAACAGATCAGAGAATCTCTAAATCAGTAAAAGACACATGGTAAACGTTATAAATATTGTTCTAATAGTTTGGTTAAGCTGAGGAGATCCTTTATTCGTACCAGTGGAGAAAGTGGGGGTGAGAGGTTTCCCAGAGAGAGGAGTGAGTGAGGGGAAAGACTCGGACCTGACACACGGTTTAAGCTCGTCCCCGGGTGAGGGGGTGAGGATGAGGGGTGAAGGCAGTTTTATCCAGAGCTCGAGAAAAAACAGAAAAAGAAAAAAAAACTATCTGTGGAAGAATGCAGTCTTGAAACCCACGCGGAGATGGAGTTAGTCCGTGAGAAAACACCAGAAGAGGCCGCGCGTAAAAGGCGCTCGCTCCAGAATCAAAAATCACAGAAATCCGTGTATCCAAATTTCCAAAATTTATTCATTTCAAACTGCATATTGAAAAAAAATATAGTCAGCCGAAACTGTAACTGTTATAACCATGGTATTAGTCCCGTAGTATTTACATGAAGCGGTTGGAAACAGGCCAACATCAAATTCCAAATACAGCTATAAGTCTGGGTGGATTTGGAGAATGAGAAATATCACAGAGAATATACAGAAAATTGTACAAATCAATTAGAAAATAAAGAGACTGCAACAAAGCGTCTAACATGTGAAGAATGGGAGACGGAAATATAAATTAACAACCTAATATTATGAGTTTAATTCAAAAAGTTTAGTAGCAGAAGAAAAACAACCCCAAGAAATGCAACAGTGCTCGGTCCCTTTCCGTCCCAGTGTTTGCATCTGTGTTGAACTGGCCTTTTGCGTTTCATATATATATAGATTTATTTATATATAAAAAAAACAGAACAACCCAAAAGAAATAACAAATAAAATAAAAGGAAAATTCTCAAACCTCTTGCAAACATTTTGATTGTAATGTTTCGTCTTTGATAAATACTGTACAAAACGTGATTGCAATAATAAACCCACTTTTTGTTCTTCAAGGCGAGTTCTCAGCTTCGACTCACGCCTCGCGCTGAGAAAATGGAGGGACATTAAAGTGATTTGAGCGGACTGGACTCAACAGGAGAACGGATCGGACCTGACTAAGAACTGTTCCCTTTTGTTCTATATTTGGACCCAGAGAAATGGTCTTGACCTCAGAAGAAAACTATGGACTAATTCCCGCTGTTGCCTGTTTGTGTGCGTGTGTTTTAATGCGTTATTGTACGAATGCGACGTCGTTTTCTTGCGTGTTTAAAGAAGCAGCTTGATTTGTGCCATATAAATAAACTGTCCTTGTCTTATATTTTGGAGAAAATTGGGTAAAGATTGTGTTTGAACCAGCGCACACACACACACGCACTCCATGAGCTCCAGTATTCTGTATCTGTGGGACATTTCAGAGCAACTGTTCGTATAGATTTGAATGTGTCTTTTCTTGTTTATATTTGTGCTATACAAATAAGCTTGACTCAAAATGCTGCTCAGGCCGGATTCCACATGACAAGTCCACTCCACTCAAAGCTCTTTTTTCTCCTCTCCTCAAACCTCAGCGCTTTCTTCTCGCGTTTATACAACACGATCGCTCTCTCTGTACAAAAATAGTCCGTGCACTTCTGGTCCCTGTGTCTCACATGGTCCGCGTGCCTCACATGTGCGTGAGGGGCAGAGTTCCGTTGAGCGTCGTCCCGGGCACGGTGCTCTGATAGTGGCCCGACATGCTGTGCAAGCGGCTCTGCGCGCTCCCGCTCTCGCTGACGTCGGCCCCGGGGAGATACATACTGATCATGTCCCGGAGGTCTGGCCCGTTCTGGCACACGCCCCCCTGCGCGAGCCCCCGGTGCGTCGTGCTCGTGGGCACCTGCACGGGCGGACTGGAGCTGTTGGACTCGGACTTGACGCCGCTGCTCATAGTCCCCAGCGCCGTCATCGTGGGCTGCTGCGCGTACGTGGACATGGACGAGTACGTGGGGGAGCCGTTCATGTAGCTCTGGTGCGTGCTCGTCATGGAGTTGTACTGGAGCATGTCGTAGCGGTGCATGGGCTGCATCTGTCCCGCCGCCGCCGCGTTGTGGTGGTACGTGATGGGCTCCTGCATCATCCCGTAGCCGCTGTTGCTCCAGCCGTTCATGTAGCTGTCCATGCGCTGGTGGTTCACGTTGACTCCCACACTGCTGCCCACCACGCCGCCCACTCCCATGGCGTTCCCCGCGGGCCCCAGCAGGCCCCCGGGCAGCGTGTACTTGTCCTTCTTCATCAGGGTCTTGGTCTTCCTCCGGGGCCTGTACTTGTAGTCCGGGTGCTCCTTCATGTGCAGCGCTCTCAGCCGCTTGGCCTCGTCGATGAAGGGCCTCTTCTCGCTCTCGGAGAGCAGCTTCCACTCAGCCCCGAGCCTCTTGCTGATCTCAGAGTTGTGCATCTTGGGGTTCTCCTGCGCCATCTTCCGCCGCTGGCCCCGGGACCACACCATGAAAGCGTTCATGGGCCGCTTGACGCGCTCGGGGCTGTTCTTCTGGTTGTTGGAGGAGCTGTTGTTGCTGCCGGTGTTGGTCTGAGGCGCCGGCGGCTTGAGCTCCGTCTCCATCATGTTGTACATGTTTACAGTCCGCTTTCTGCGGCTACAGCCGGCTCCAAAACGCAAAAATATTCGAGAAGCGAAAGTTACCTTGTTTTGTCCAGTGTTCGTAACTTTTTCCGCTCTCCGAAACAAGTGCCAAAAACGTCTCCTGCGAAGACAGCTCCCCGCGCTCTGCCTACATTCACAAACACAGATGTCCTCAGTCTGTTTCTCTGTGAATCTCAGTGAAATTCAACTTTTGTGCTCGTGCCGCTGCTGCCAACACCACCGAGTCTTGACAAACTCCAGATAGTTTTGGAAACAAGTTAATAGACAACCATTCAAGTGACGGAGGGGGCTGACAGCGAATAAATGGACAGAGCCTGGCCAATGGCGTGCGCCTTGCTCCGCTCACGCACCAATGGGAGGTTGCGATTTGCATAACGGGGAGGGGTCTGTCTGCTGCTGAAGCCCGCGGGGACGTGCGTGAGAGCGTGCGTGAGAGCGTGCCAGCGAAAGCAAAGTGCAGGACTCGGTGGATGGTTCTCGCAGCGGCAGCAGCGGCAGTGGTGTCATGCGGAAAAGTAGAGTTTAGAATGATTGTGGAGAACTGTGGGGAAGCGGCCAGAGAGGCGCACAGGGACCAGAGAGAGGCAGAGGGACCAGAGAGGCGCACAGGGACCAGAGAGAGGCAGAGGGACCAGAGAGACGCACAGGGACCAGAGAGACGCGCACAGGGACCAGAGAGACGCACAGGGACCAGAGAGGGATACCCTTGGTTAAACGTAAGATGCAGAGAACTGGCCTAGGTTTGTTTGAGATAGAGACATGTGGAGCGAATTTACATTTCCCAACTCACATAAAAATGAAAATAAACTCTTGTGAGCCTATATATTGCCAGTGTGATATAGATAGATAGATGGATGAATAGATAGATAGACAGACAGAATGATAAAAATGCAAGTGTCACAGAAAAACATCCATCCACACAAACAAACAAATACATAATTCTATAAGGGCCTTCTCCTCTACATGTGGCCGAGCGTGATGCGTCATGGGCGGCCATCAGACAGAGAGAGGCGCGTGGGGAATGTTAAATAATGCAACGTTAAAATGGGAGGAAAAGAAACAAAGGTATCAACATAAGTTATTACACATGCGTAGGCTCTTATCTTATATACATCATACTGTGCAGCTAACAAGGCACAGACTGGGCAGAAAGTGAAACTGGAAAAATCACCACAAATTAGTTTAAATTAGTTTAAAAATATATATATATAACCAAACCAAACATCTATAAAAAGGCCATGTCTGAAACTCAATGATCATTCAACAAGTGGATATTTAGTCACAAGTATTTGCCATATACTGTTTTTATTTAGTAAATTTAACTTTAACGACAAAATGGTATCAAAAATATTAGCAAAGAATCTAAAAACAGAAGGATCTCTCTCTCTCTCTCTCTCTTTTCCCCCCTCTCTCTCTCTCTCTCTCCAAGTTGAATGCCAGCACACACAGGAGAAGTTGTCCACCAAAGTTGTTAGTGCTCAAAGGAGGGGGGTTGTGGGTTCAATTCTCGGCACAAACAAACACGTTTTGTTTTGGGTACGTTGTCGCGACATCGGGGAACACAAAGAGGAACACTACAGCACCAGTGTTTCCCTTTTCGCTGAGTGGGGGGTAGAAGAAGTTGGAGTAGTGGCAGTAGTAAAAGCAGGAGTAGTAGTAGTAGTAGCAGTAGTAGTAGTGGCTTGGGGCAATGCAAAAAGGCAGCAGCAGGAGGGATATGCAGCTAACACTTTAACATAATGTGACTTGCTAATGAGTGGAGGGGTTTATAATACGGATTCTTGCGTTTACAATTGGTTTTCTTTTGAGAGAACTCAGATTAGAGAGATTAAGACCCGGCACAGATTAGCGATTTGAGTTACTTTTGTATAAGATCTGCTTTTGGTCCTTCTCTGCAACAAGTAAAATGTCTCGGATCTAAGGGAACTTTGAGAGCGCACACAAACATTTAGCATTGAGCGCACGATAAAAGAGCAAAAAGAACGATGTTTATTTCAGTTCATGGTCAATTAGAGATAAAAATTTTAACCTTGTATCTTCAAAAACAGCCATTTTTGTTCAGAAATAAATAAAGAGGTATTTGATCAACAACAAGTGGACTACTTAGAGAATCCAGGTTCATCAAACTGAGACAAAGACCTACAACTGAGACGAATGTTGTCTTTTCTAAGTCCTGGGTCTGCAGCCTCAGTCCTGGATCTACAGTCTCAGTCCTGGATCTACAGTCTCAGTCCTGGGTCTACAGTCTCAGTCCTGGATCTACAGTCTCAGTCCTGGGTCTACAGCCTCAGTCCTGGATCTACAGTCTCAGTCCTGGGTCTACAGTCTCAGTCCTGGATCTACAGTCTCAGTCCTGGGTCTACAGCCTCAGTCCTGGATCTACAGTCTCAGTCCTGGGTCTACAGTCTCAGTCCTGGGTCTACAGTCTCAGTCCTGGATCCACAGCCTCAGTCTTTGCTATTTTTACAATTCCTGTGTTCAGTTTGATTTTCTGATCTGTTGTCGGGGAGTCCACAACTTTGTAAACTTTATGTGACAGAGACATGTTGACCTACTTTGTCACATTTTCCAATTTCAATTTAAAAATAAAATCACAGTATTTAGTCTTCTAAATCCCTCATCACAAAATCGTCACGCATCACATTTTTAAGTGAAATTCTAAAATATCAGCATTTTTCAATATATATTTTTATTCTTAACATCTGACTTTAAAAGATTCTACTTCTATTTCTCATCAAACTAATATATACTATTACTTAAACTCTTACTTATAAAACTTATATACTCTTACTTATACTTACATACTTATACCTATATGTACTATTACATACTCATACTTACTTCAATCATTCACGCTCCTTACAACACTCAACGTGACCAAAGTGCTTTACAATAAATAACATTCAACAATCATGCAAACAAACAATAAACAGTTAAAAAGCATTAAAAAGAAATTAACAAAACTTTGTGAATGTGTACTTGCAAGAGGAACCTGCTGTTTCCTCTCGCTGTCTTGTCTCATGGTGAGTTTTTCTGTAAATCTAGATTTAAAAACTAAAGTCCTATATTTGAACCTCCAGGAACCCTCTCTTCGACATCTGCTTCACTTTCACCAAAACTAAAACCCTGAGATTCTTCTTCTGACGCTGCAGAATCGTCGAGTAACGTTTGGATCCGTCTCATTACTTCCTCTTCTCACGTTTCCGATAAAACCCATATTTTCTGTTTACTCAGAATCCTCACATTTCTATGGTTTTCTCACTTGTTTGACTGAGTGTGATAAAGGCCTCTCTGCACGAGGCGCTGCTGCGTGACGCTACTGCCGCCTACTGGTCACTGACAGAACTGCAAGGCCCTGACTCTGTCTCCAGGACAGGACTTTAGTTTTAAAACATATTATAATATAATACCAATACCAATAAAAATAATCATAATAATAATAACAATAATAATAATGATACCATAAATCATTATCATTATTATTATTATGCTGTATTAAAAACACAACAGTTCATAGACATTACACAGAAAATCAGACGAAAACAAATACATTCAAAAAATAAATAAATATATATTGATATTAATAAATGTTATCTTACTGTTACTGTTGTAAACGCAGACACGGTGTGAGATTTTACACATTTTGATACAAACTATGAGCCAAAAATGATATATATTGATTTTCTGTTACTGACTTTATCAATGGTATAATGTATATGATTGTGTGCGATTAACTACAAACAATGTTCAGACCACAACATCATTTTTTTCTTTTGTTCTGATTGATTCATACGTTTATCTATTACGTCAGTGTTTTAGTGCAGTGTGGATGGTGGTGGTTTTGCTGTTTCCTCATGTTTTACTATTATATGAAGTCATCTTTATTTATTATATTTACATTTCACAGACCAAGGTCAGACAAAGAGCTTCATAATTACAGCTAAAAACGATATAATCATTATAGTTTTACAGTTCTCTTTCATTACATTTTGAGAGGATCCAGAGACTGCAGAGCGGAACCGCTGATCTTTGAGTAAAACGTCCAAAATAATAAGTAAATGACAATAAAAAGACTGAACCAAAAGCTGCAAAGACCAATGGGAGAAATCTATATAATTTCAAAGTCAGAGTGTGTATACCAGGAGTGTGAGGGATCACCCTGTGTGACATCACCACAGTGTGACCTCACCACAGTGTGTGTGACATCACCACAGTGTGACATCACCACAGTGTGACCTCACCACAGTGTGACATCACCACAGTGTGACATCACCACAGTGTGTGTGACATCACCACAGTGTGTGTGACATCACCACAGTGTGTGTGACATCACCACAGTGTGACATCACCACAGTGTGACATCACCACAGTGTGACATCACCACAGTGTGACATCACCACAGTGTGACATCACAATGCAGTAGAGGCTGATTTGAAAAAAAAAAACTGGAGCCAGTTTCCCTATATGGGCGTTTGTTCTGACGGCGTCGTTAGGACGGTTGCTAAGGAAAACTCAAGCTTCCCCCTGAATCTGATTGGTCGATCCTTATATGGATCATATCTGGATTTGCAAAGAAAATATCACAATATAAACACCAGGATCAGGGGAAAACAAAAAAACACACACAAGTGACGCCTTCGGTTTTTGTCTTTGGTAATCTAGAAATTTAGAAATCAATCACCAAAAAGTCAAGAGGGAGAAACCAGAGAGACCAGAAAGAGACCAGAAAAGACCAGAAAGAGACCAGAAAGAGACCAGAGAGAGACCGGAGAAAGAGACCAGAGAGAAACTATAGAGAGGGGGAACAGAGAGAGACCAGAGAGGGAGAACAGGAAGAGACCAAAGAGAGAAAACTACAAAAAAACGTGTGTGAAGTCTTGCATATCCTCTTTCATCCAAACACCATGTGAAAGTTTATCTGTATATCGATAGAGGCAGTGTTTCAGATTCATGCAGTGGAAATCTGGAAA